TCTGGTTCCTCTGCCTCTTCTAAATCCAGCTTGCACTTCTGGGAGTTCTCGATCCACATACTGCTTGAGCCTTCCTTGTAGAATTTTAAGCATAACCTTGCTAGCGTGTGAAATGAGTGCAATTGTGCGGTAGTTGGAGCATTTTTTGGCACTGCCCTTCTTTGGGATTGGGATGTAGACTGATCTTATCCAATCTTCTGGCCACTGCTGAGTTTTACAAATTTGCTGGCATATTGAGTGTAGCACCTTAACAGCATCATCTTTTAAAATTTTAAATAGTTCAGCTGGAATACCATCACTTCCGCTGGCCTTGTTATTTGCAGTGCTTTCTAAGGCCCATTTGACTTCACTTTCCAGGATGTCTGGCTCAAGGTCAGCAACCATACTACCTGGGGTGTACAAGCCATCCATATCTTTCTGGTATAATTCCTCTGTGTATTCTTGCCACCTCTTCTTGATGTCTTTTGCTTCTGTTAGGTCCTTACCACTTTTGTCCTTTATTATGGTAATCTTTGTACGAAATGTTCCTTTCATATCTCCAATTTTCTTGAACAGATCTCTGGTTCTTCCCATTCTGTTGTTTTCCTCTATTTCTTTGCATTGCTCGTTTAAGAAGGCCTTCTTGTCTCTCCTTGCTATTCTTTGGAAATCTGCATTCAATTTCCTGTATCTTTCACTATCTCCCTCGCATTTTGCTTGCCTTCTCTCCTCCGCTATTTGTAAGGCCTCGTTGGATAGCCACTTTGCTTTCTTGCATTTCCTTTTCATTGGGATGGTTTTCGTTGCTGCCTCCTGTACAATGTTACGAGCCTCCATCCATAGTTCTTCAGGCACTCTGTCCACCAAATCTAAATCCTTAAACCTGTTCATCACTTCCACTGTGTATTCATAAGGGATTTGGCTTAGATTGTATCTTACCGGCCCAGTGGTTTTTCCTACTTTCTTCAGTTTAAGCTTGAATTTTGCTATAAGAAGCTGATGATCTGAGCCACAGTCAGCTCCAGGTCTTGTTTTTGCTGACTGTATAGAGCTTCTCCATCTTTGGCTGCAGAGACTATAATCAATCTGATTTCGATGCTGCCCATCTGGTGATGTCCATGTGTGGAGTAGTCTCTTGTGTTGTTGGAAAAGCGTGTTTGTGATGACCAGCTTGTTCTCTTGACAGAACTCTATTAGCCTTTGCCCTGCTTCGTTTTGATCTCCAAGGCCAAACTTGCCAGTTGTTCCTTTTATCTCTTGCCTCCCTACTTTAGCATTCCAATCCCCTATAATGACAGAAGTTACGGTAACCCTACTCTTTGCTTTCAGCCTGCTCAGATTAAAGAGCTTTCCATCTGTTCAATATATGATTTCCACTCTGGAGGGGAGTTTCCCTTCGACAATGTGTAGGATCATAATGATGAAGATAATAGAATTGAGGTGATAATACATCCTTGTTTAATGCCTGATCCTACTGTTAATGGTTCATTTTGCGAGTCATTGTTATCATGGCGGAGCCGAAGGATGTTCACAAATTTATCTGGGCAGCCAATTTTCAGCAGGACAGTCCACAAGGCAGTATAATTTACAGTATTGAAGGTCTTAGGTCAATAAATGCCATATACAGGGGTTGATTTTGCTCTCTGCACTTTTCTTGAGGCTGTTGAGCTGTGAAAATCATACCCACTGTCCCCCAAGAAGATCGAAAACCATTTTGGGATTCAGGAAGGGCATCCTCAGATATAGTTAAACTGTGAAGTTCGTGTTCATAATTGGTTCAGCTCCTGACTTGCATGGGCACTCAGATCCTAGTATAATGCATTAAATATATCTGGACCGACCTGAACAAGGCAGATGAAACAAAGACCTTACCTAGGTGTCTTGTTGGCTGGAATCCTCTGTGTACACAGTTTTATCTACAAAATTTACTACATAGTTGAACTCTTGATCTCAGTTATATTGAATAGCTATTCACAAGACTGTATATATTTTTTCAAGTTCCTCATGACTATACTTATATGCTTTGTGCTGGTATTATTTTGAGTCTTATAAAATACACTGAAAGCTCAATACAATTTGTAATACTTTTATTGCATGCTTACAGAGTTGTGTTTGATTAGATTCTATTCACTGTATTCCTTCGTTGTTGGATACTAAAATGAAGGTAAAGCAGTTGTGAGGGGGTAGTATGGTAGTATGAGGGTAAAACTTAAAGCAATTTTTTGTACATTTTGCTTTCCTTGAGTTGAATATTAAGGTACACTTCTGAATCCATTGACTCAGTGTGGATATTCATCACTTAGTAATACTGCTTGTTGCTATTCAGTACTATTCTATGTGGGGCTGCCCTTGAGACTGACCCAGAAACTCCAGCGGGTGCAGAATGCTGCGGTGAGACTCCTTACTTGCCATTGGATCACATTCACTGGCGCCCGGTGGAGTACAGGATCAGGTTTAAGGTGCTGGTTTTAACCTTTAAAGCCCTATATGGCCTAGGACCCTCGTACCTACGGGGCCACCTCTCCTGGTATGTTCCACGGATGACCTTACGGTCCTCAAACAAAAACATCTTGGAGGTCCCGGGCCACAGGGAGGTTAGGCTGGCCTCAACCAGAGCCAGGGCTTTTTCGGCTGTGGCCCCGATCTGGTGTAACGCTCTGTCACAAGAGACTAGGGCCCTGCAGGACTTGAAATCTTTCCGCAGGGCCTGCAAGACAGAGCTGTTCCACCAGGCCTTTGGCCAGGGCACAGAGTGACCCCCTCCTTTGGTAATCCTCACAGAACTCTTGCCCAATGGTTGCCATTAATTTGATTTTGAATTGATTTCAGAATGACTTGATTTTAGAATGCTGTGTTACTTTTATTGTTGTTAGCTGCTCTGAGCCCGGCTTCAGTTGGGGAGGGCGGGATATAAATAAAATTTTATTATTATTATTATTATTATTATTATTATTATTATTATTATTATTATTATATTGCTTGGGTCCAAAACTATTGAATTAACCTTATGAACTAGTTATGTTTACAAATTAGAACCAGCTGTTCTAGATGGCCTGGAATTTTATTTTATTTTTAAAAAAGACCCCGCTCTTTAGTTAGATACTTGCCTTCATTATGATAAGCTGTATAACTGGAGGCGGAAATACTTGTAAAAGATCTTTAAATTTTTGCTATAAAAAAATAAACCGTGTTTATCACTCCATCAAGAACTTTAAGCAACTGATTAAGCAAATCAGTGGATTTGTGGCCCAAAATATACAGGAACCAGTGAAAAGCCGAGACAAGTGCTGAATGTGTGCAGTGAGCATCTCAAGAAGTAGCAAGAGACATTCATTTCAGCTCTACATAGAAATGTGGGTGTGCAGTGCATTGCTGAGCAAAATATGACTTTATTTCTTGGTTTCTCTCCTGCATGTGTGTATGTGTGAGAGTGTGTGTTTCTGTGGTGTGTGAGTGTGTGTGGAGGGGGAAACGGCACATTCCTCATATAACAATATAGCATGCTAACTATTAGTTAATAGACACTTTGAAGCTTCAGAGGTTTCAGAAAAGTGCTGGGTCTCTGAACTACGTCTTCTGCATTCCACTTCTCAGACCACAGGTATGAATGTGGTGGTCAGAAAAGGACAGGAGCTGTGTGGAAGATGGGCTAAAAGGATGTTATTTCTCTCCTCCCAGTTATTTTTCTCATCCTTGACTATTCTGGAGACTTTAGGTTTGGATTCATTTGATTCTGGATAAGCATGCTAACCTAACTTGTGTGTGACAGACATATGGACGGACAAGTTAGAAAGTGTTAACCTCTCCCAACGCCACACCCAAATTCTGAGTGTTGCATCCTGCAAGTTGGGGAGGTAGAATAAAGCCATTCTTCTCTCTAGGTGTCCTGTCTACCACTCAGCCTTGGGGTCCTCTTGATGTACATATAGCCCACTGCTCAATATTCTTCCTCTCTGAGGTGATGTTGGGCTTCTCCCTCCTTACTGTTCTTTAAAATTTCAACATTAATGCTGAGGTTCCCTAAGGGAACATTTCAGCAGTTTGTGGTTGTCATGACAACTATGGCCCTGACTCAGTTAATACTAGACCTGTCAGGACATGAGGTTTAGAAAACGTCTCAGTGGCTCACTGTGGCCAATTTGCGCCACACTTTGTAGATTGGACTACAGATAAATTGTTGTGTCTGTGGATGTGCCTAAAATATCTGCTTGTCTTGTTGTGATGCATATCTTTCAGTTTGTTTAGCCTGAGAATATGGGCAGGAACTTTGAGGCCAACCACATGTAAACTTGACCTTTCCCACTCTTGCTCACTAAAACTTTCAGGAAGGAATTGAGTAAATGTGTAGAGGGGGTGAAAAATGTGAAACCACTGCTAAAAAGAACCCTCCTAAGATCCCTCTACCACCAGTTTCCATCCTCTTTTGGGGGGGGGGCAAGGCGCTTGAGTGGGTGGTGACCCACCTCTAGGTGGTTTGGATTATACAGATTATCTAGATGCATTTCAGTCAGACTTTAGGACTGAAATTGCTTTGGTAGAACTATGCGGGAGGCAGTGGAAGACAGGAGTGCCTGGCGTGCTCTGGTCCATGGGGTCACGAAGAGTCGGACACGACTAAACAACAACAGAACTATGGTAGAACTATGGTTGGAACTGGACAGGAGAACTTCATCCCTCTTCTGGCAGACCTCTTGGTGGCTTTTTATACCATTGACTATTGTATACATCTGCTGGATTGGATCCCTGGATGGCACAGTTCTGTGCTGGTTTTGGTCCTACCTGGTGAACAGGTTCCAGAAATGCTGCAATAGTCTAGATGTAGACTAAGAAACTGGGAGTTAATTCAGGCAAGACAGGCATGCTGTTGGTCAGGAGGTGGGTTTGTGGTGGGAAAGGAAAGTTGAAAAGCCTTAAGTGCATGTGGAACAATATTCATGGCCTTTTGAACATACATAACATATGCAGTTTAAGATCAACCTCCCTTTTTTCAAAATTTTATTAAAAGTGCTTTCTTTTTACAGCTTAATCCACACTATCCAGATGGTAGTAATGGGGAAAAGGCTTTGGTAAGTGCAACTGCTTCTTTAAATAAAATGTGGTGAAATGCTCCCTTACATAATCTGATCTAATTAGAAAGAAAGTGCCTGTGACATTTGGGTTGTAGAAACAAGCTGTGTACAATATCGACAAGAAATATATTTCTGTTACAGAGTTGGGAGCTTAAAAATCCTATGTTGATGTGACTTTTGCTTTCTATTTATTCATTTATTTTAAAACCTGGCAACAACTTTTCTTGACAAAAAGTTCTCCAAGCAACTGGCAATAATTATGGCTTTCCAAAATAAACAGACCAAACAAATTTTACAATGTGTCATGAGTTGGCTTAAAAACAAATGCCACAATATGCTTTAATTCTATTAATGTTTGTTTTTTAGTTATTGTTTCCCAGTGTGTTTAGCTGCTCATATTTTATCAGTAAGCTGTCTTTAGACCCTGTCAGGGAAAAAGGTGGGATATAAATAAATATATAACAACAACATGACTCCAAAAATATATAGAGGGTGTTAGGCTGGTACAGTTCGAGAGGGAATTATGGACTTGGGAAGCCATGATAGCAGAGGTGCTAATCTGGATGTTGCTGGGCATCGTCCCATCATCTTTGACCATTGGCCATGCTGGCTGGTGCTGGTGAAGTTGTTTTTCACAGTTCTCTTTTTCCCATAGAAAAACCACACAAAGTTTAAAAATAACATATCACTTTACTTGCTGTGCTTGCTCTTGTCAGATTGAATATACAAGAGAGGCATGTAATACGTTGCTAAAATATATTTACATGACTTTGTATCGGAGTGACTAATATTTACAGACTGGTTCTTAGGAGGCACAACACACTTTCTGCTCTCACAGTTAAAACTCTAAGTTGATAACTGAACTATACAGTATACAGTATATATGACATCACAAGATTATATACTACAGCATTAACCCTTTGCATAGTTTTTTGGATGCACCATTTCCACAATAAGCCACAGGTTATCATCATTGCATTATAGAGAGGGCCCTACTTCTGATCTCAGTATAGACCTGGCACAAAAGAGAACCAAGAAAGTCTGAGACTTTTTTTTTACCTTTTAAGGCTATGAATTATTTTCATTACCCTATAGCAGGGGTCAGCAACCTTTTTCAGAAGGGGGCCGGTCCACTGTCCCTCAGACCTTGTGGGGGGCCAGACTATATTTTGAAGAAAAAATAATGAACGAATTCCTATGCCCCACAAATAACCCAGAGATGCATTTTAAATAAAAGCACACACTGTGTTTAAATAAAAACACTGTGTTTAAGCTGGAGACATATTATAGTTAATGAAAGTAAATAAGTTAACCTGAAAGAATGCATTTCCTGACCCACTTTGTTTCACAAATTTCATTTTGTTTAATAAAACTTTTCTTGTTTGTTTGAGCATTTTCTGCCTGAGACTGTAATCACAAAGTTTTCCCTCACACAAGTCCCCCACATGATAGCCTGTGGTAAATTGTAAAACCTGGTGTAATTAGCATACAGAGAGAGCTGTGTGCTATATTTAATTGGGGGCAGTTAGTGGGGTGAGTCCACTGTTTGTGCAGACTTCAAAAGAGGAGAGAGAGATTTGGCCTCTAAAGCTCTGTTAACGCTGTATGGGATTGCTGGTTTTGTAAGCCGCTGCTAAAGTTGTTTTAACACAGAGACACCAGATTATGCTTGATTTAGCAGATGTTTCTAGAACTCTGGTGGTTGTTAAATTTAATTTTAAGTTCAGTTAGTACTGCAGCTTAATGGTCTTCATGGAGGGAAATAACATTAGGACTGTAACTATGCTTTCAGAGGCAGCTTTTCCAAAGAATGAGCCTATAAAGTCTGGGGCACTCGTGCTTATGCAGAGAAACTGTGCAGGAGTGTACTGTTGCAGATTTCTGGTGGAGCAGAATAATCTTGAATGTCTCTCTAAGTTTAAAACAAAAGATCAATGCATGTAGAAAAGTAGTAAGATGAGCCTTGGGGTCTCTTCTAACCCTACGATTCTGTCATTCTAAGTAAGGAAAAATACTCGGTTAAAATTCTTCATCCAGACATGCTGTTTTTCTGTATGCAGGTAGCTTTGAGTTTATTAAAAAAAAACTTGGGAGAGAATTTGAGTTTAGAATCCTCCTCCAGGGCATATATACCACACCACATGATATTCATAGTCACAATACCTAGGTAGGACCTGTATTCACAGTAGTGGCTTCCTGGTTGAGCTTATGCCACATCTCAACAGCTAAATGTGCAGTGTAGGACTGTTATGTACTAGAACAAGAGGCAGGTAGTGTCCTAGAATGCAACAACCTGATTGGCCTGCAGGAGCAGCCCAATCAGGCTCCAGGAGGGAAACATAATCAACCAATCAGACGGTACTCATTGTGTAAATAATGTATGTAAAGCCTGAGGTTCCGGGGGGGGGGGGAGGGATTTGCTCACTGTTCCTATGAGCTGAAATAAAGAACATGAAATTACTACTCAACTGAGTATATTTCAAGGACTGATATAAATGGAGCACATATCATGGACAAGCTGTTTTGCAAAGTTGACTGCCCTTGTTGGTGGGGACAAAAAAACACAGCCTTTCCTGATGCTCAATGCCTCCTGTCTGTCCTTTGTCTTTTATCTTTGTACTCCTTTAAAGCAAGCGCTTTGATGCTGTATTCCTCTGCCAAACACCCAGCAGCCCTGACGGAACTCACATTAAGCAATAACATGTTCTGTCATAGGGACTTTTTGTTGGCCTCTGACCTATTTGTGTGAAAAGGCAGCTTGCATCCCAGCATCCTTGAGGCAGGTTGGTCCTTCTGTTTTGAATATGAGAAAAGAAGCTAGTAACCCTACAATTTCGCTCTAGTAACCCTACCCCCGTCACCTTGCAAAGAAAAAATATATTATTCTTGCAGAACTAACAATAGGACGCTGTGTAAACCAAAGTGTCCTTGTTCTTCAGCAGAGAGACAGCGAACTTCTCATTCCAAAGAAGAAACGACATGCTGGGGAAAAAATTATGTATACGCTGGTGTCTGTGCCACATGGAAATGATATTGCCTCTCTTTTTGAACTGGATGCTACCACCCTTCAGCGAGCTGACTGCCTGGTTCCAAGGTAGTGTTGCATGTGTATCTGTGGGCTTGCCAGCTGAAAAGTCAGCAGTTCAAATCTGCGTGATGGGGTGAGCTTCTGTTTCTCTTTCCAGCTTCTGCCAACCTAGCAGTTCAAAAACACACCAGTGCAAGTAGATAAATCATGTTTCTGTGCACTTTGGCACTCATTACTATGTCCCATTGTGCCAGAAGTGGTTTTGTCCTGCTGGCCACATGACCTGGAAAGCTATCTGTGGACAAACATTGGCTCCCTTGGCCTGAAAAGGGGGATGAGCGCCGCAACCCCATAGTCGTCTTTGACTGGACTTAACCGTCCAGGGGTGCTTTACATATATGTGTGTGTGTGTATGTGTACATGTACGTGTACCCAGTGCTTTTTTTTGGGGGGGGGAAGGTGCCGGAACTCATGATGAAGTGTGGAGGAAGAGAGAGCCTGTGCCGGTCTATAATAAGGGGGCATTGCAGCAACCCAATTTCAGGGGGTTGTTTTAAGCTTGGAAGAAAGGTCAAGTAGTGCTTGGGAGAGAGGCAGAGGTTGCCTTCCATGTACCTGCTTAGTCAGTGTCTCCAGCCTCTCTCTGTCTCTGGGGGTGAGTGATTATGTGCGTGAAGACTGCAAAGCCGTATGACCCTGCAGAGCAATAGTGCTTCCTAAGGGAGCATGCTAGGCTAGCCTTCCTCCACCTCCTCCCTTTACTTGCCTCTTTGTGATGGAGGTAGCTGGTGCTGGCTAGGAAATCAGGGGAAGAAGAGGGGTAGGCTAGTGCTCCACATTTCCTTCTTCCTTCCTCTTGTTAATCTGAGCATAAAGCCTCCACCCACAGGTGGAGACCAGGGCTGGACCCATTGTCAGCTGATTCTTTCCCAGTGGATTTGAAAACAACATTTGATGCTCCAATGATTTTACATTTATTCCTTGAGAGCTGTTGTTTTACTTTGTTTAGAAATTCTTATGTGCGACTGAGACACCTGTGCACCAACACATGGGTCACCAGTACCAGTATCCCAATAGACAAAGACGAAGAAAGGCCTGTGATGTTAAAGGTAAATACCAACAGTCAACATAACTTAAGCAAAGAAAGCTGCTTTCTCACGTTAAATTTTGGTTGTTCTTCCCCTGACAATATTACAGATTGGGACCTGCCAAACGAAAGAAGACAAGGAAGCATTTGCTATTGTGTCTGTTCCTCTGTCTGAGGTTAGAGATTTGGATTTTGCTAATGATGCCAACAAGGTTTTAGCATCCACAGTTAAAAAGTTGGAGAATGGCTCTGTAACTCAAAATGAAAGGAGGTCAGTGATCCTTTCTTACCTTTTGCCTCCCTCCCTGACCTAAAGATACCAAGCAAATGCTTACAGCTAATACAGGCTTTCACAAGAGACTACTAAACCAGATGTTAGAAATAATTGATCAGTTCAGCATTATTATGCTACAGCAGCTATGAGGCATCTGTGGCCCTCCAAGTGTTGCTGGAGTCATAAGATCACAGAATTATAGAGTTGGAAGGGACACCAAGGGTCATCTAGTCCAACCCCTGCACTGCAGGAATCCTGCTTACAGCTGTCCCTGAGTGGGCTCCGACCACCAACCTTCTGGTTAACAGTCTGATGCATTAACCCATTGCAGGATAGGAGAATGCCATTACCTCCAGACCACATGGCCCAATGGGCAGGAAAGAGAAGAGTTGCAGCCCAACAATATATGGAGGGCCACAGATTCCCCATCCCTGTGCTCTTTCAGCCCTGGAGCCTATTTATGCTTTCAAAAATGTGTATGTATTGAACACAAGGAGGATTAGGGAAAGTGTATCAACCCCATGCCCCACTTTCAGGCTCAACAGACTTCTGTGCATTGACTTCCTTATGTGCATACAATGTGTCAATTCTGTATTCCCTTGGCTTCTGATAGTGCAAGAGTTGTGGAAAATTGTGTTAGGTGTGAAGGTCTGCAGATTTGTGGAGTCAGAGGATTGTATGTAATGCTGCAACAATGGGTTTCCTGTCCTCCCCTTGCATGTCCCCCAGATCTGCTCCAGAGGGCCTCTCAAACCTTAGAGCTGATTTTGAGGGTGTGTGGCTGGTGGGGTAGGGTTTGAGGGGACAGGAGAGGAAGAGGTAATTCTGCTATGTGCAAAAAAAAAAAAAGTCTGCTGGTGAACCAGCATGCTAGAGACAACCCCATATATTTTTGTCAGTAATAATTATAACAAACAAGGAAAATGCCTGTCACAAGGGGGATGTTTGTGGAGGTTGTGGTTATGTGAAAAATATCTATATTATCTACATCATTATCCTTTTATATATAAAAGGCAGGTGTCTTGTCGTCTGGGCAGCCCAGGACCTCTAGACACACTGCCGAAGCTTGTGCCCCAGGGAGGTCACTGCTAACACAACGGTTTGACTTCATCCCCAGAGGCACACTCCATTGTGTTTTAAGACAGATGGATGCCAACAATCTATACCTATTTTTGTTATATTGTGCTTCTGTATTTCAAACCTCACTACTGCGGGACAAGAGAAAAGTATTAGCAAATCCCAAGTACAAAAAAACTGCAGGGGGCAAAAAACTGGAACTGTGTGTGAGTAACCCTCAAAACAGTTCCATAATAATTGAACGGCATGGAAATTTGAAATGGGTGGGAGTCAGGAATAGAATAGTGTGGCTAGAACAAGGAGATTGGGACAACACCCAAACACCCGTTAGAAAGAACCATTTCATTGTCTTGATGGGTCACTTCTTACATTATACAGAGAAGCTGTTTGCTGCTGTCTTTGGGGACTTAAGAGAAAGTTGCCCATAGATACCAATGAAGAAATGAAATAAGTTGATGTTACTGAGCCCCACTCCCACCCCCAGCATCCAGAAACCAATGGGAAAAACGGAGATAAAATATTTATCAAAACAGCCCAATGTGGACTGAACATGATGCAAGGGTGCAGAATGATGACTGACTGCTGGGAGTTTGGGGTGGCGGGAAAGGAAAGAGTGGTTGAAACCCTGAACAGAAACACTCCATGCTGTAACATTTTGTTACAGAGCTACACTTGTTCACTGTATTGTACTTCTTCAAACAACATAGGTTTGTAACCAAGCTGTTGGAAGATCTCATTTTCTTTGTTGCTGATGTGCCCAATAATGGCCAGGAAGTGTTGGATGTGATGGTCATTAAGCCCAACCGAGAGAGGCAAAAATTAATGAGGGAACAAAATATATTGGCACAGGTATGTAATTGATAGAAATATTTAATATGGAGCATATTCTTCAAAGATACAGTGGCCTTGTTTGCATATCGCTTCAAGGTGGGGGAGGGACTGACCCCTTTAGTCAGTGTTTCCCAGACTTTTTAAACCCAATGTCCCCTTTTAGGTAATATAAAAATCTCTTCAAACCTGCCTCTCCTAATTATTTTATTTGCATTTTCAAAATGATTGAAATTAAATTATTGAATATTAATTATAAATAATATTTTGGGGCTTAATAATAAAAATCAATCAAAGTACTTATAACTTTTTAAAAACCAGTTACTCAAATTTCCAAAAAGCTGCACAAAATTATAAATTTCAAAAAAAATGCTTTTATTATTATTAATATCAACATTGATTCTGCATGTTTGTCACAAGCTTTTGGATTCTGGGCACCGTGGAAGACAGAGTACATCTTGTTTCACTTTCAGCATCAGCCTGCTGCGCTGCTTTGTTTCAATATCTAAAAGAACAGAAAACCCATCTTCACAAAGGCATGTGGATGAAAATGTCACAATGATATGCAGAGCCTGCTCTTCTGTTTTGGGATATACAGGGAAATATTTCAACCAATTTTTTCCTGAAGGGAATTGTTTGAAATCATCTTTGGCAGCTGAATCACACTTGCGTTCCAAAAAGTCCTTCTGGAGATGCTCTGACAAGGACTGAACATAAGTGATAAAATCGTTTTCACAGTGTGTTCTGCAATCAGCTCAGTTTCCATTGCCTGAATATATTTTATGGTCTGCAGAATCAAGCTGCCAAGCAGTGAAGCTTTTTCAGAGGGTTTCTAGGTGGTCTGTTTCAGACTCAATGCAGGCATAAGATTGGCCTGGTTTGTAATCTGCAAAGCCTGACTAAGAGGTGGATGAGTTTGGTGAGCAAAGCCAGCAGGGATTAATAAATTGGTAGAATTCTCTGGATTGGCTCACTAACTAGATCACTTATGCCTTTCATACTCAGCTGTAGTTCTCTCTCCAGCTCTCGTGTTTGTGGGGAAAATGGTGAATTTAGTTCTCATTCGAGGGACGCGGGTGGCGCTGTGGGTTAAAGCCTCAGCGCCTAGGACTTGCCGATCGAAAGGTCAGCGGTTCGAATCCCCGCGGCGGGGTGTGCTCCCGTCGTTCGGTCCCAGCGCCTGCCAACCTAGCAGTTCGAAAGCACCTTCGGGTGCAAGTAGATAAATAGGGACCGCTTACCAGCGGGAAGGTAAACGGCGTTCCATGTGCTGCGCTGGTTCGCCAGATGCAGCTTGTCACGCTGGCCACGTGACCTGGAAGTGTCTGCAGACAGCGCTGGCTCCCGGCCTATAGAGTGAGATGAGCGCACAACCCTAGAGTCTGTCAAGACTGGCCCGTACGGGCAGGGGTACCTTTACCTTTACTAGTTCTCATTCAAGAAAGCAAGAGTAAAAACAAATAGTTTTCATTGGTGAAATATTTGGCAAGCGTTGTGATCAAAAGTAAATGCAGGCCTGCTTGTCTGTGGAAACAAGAACCTTCTGTCTTTATATCCAGTATAATATGCCACCATTGACTAACTGGGACCCAAGACCAGCTGTTATGTATTGGCTGCGCAGAAGGAACACAGGGTGTGAGATAGGCCTAAGCTACAAAAACAGGAGTACTTAAAGGGTATTTACAAGGATGCAAGTGTTACCTGCCCAAAGGTGAAGATGAAGTAGGGGAGGATCTGTCCCAAAAGAAGGTGTTTTAATATGGTTTGGGTAATTTACATACAGACACTGAGCTCATCTAATTTATATGCATACCATCCCTGATATTATCTGTCATTTAAGTGCTTAATAAACACATGCACCCAACACATCCAGTTTTCTGTCCATTTTTCCAGCTGCACAATTCCATCCCCACATAGCACACTGAAAAAAACCTCAGCCTTAAATCGAGGATAATCTCATATGTAATAGCAGTAGTGTATGGTATGTCCAAAGTTCTAAAAATTAGTGGAAATGAGTAGTATAAATCAACATGTGAGTGATTAACCACACAGTGCATGATGAACTGCTGCGCTCTGTATATTGCATGTCACACCACTTAAGAGATAATGTTGAACTTCTTTGCACTCATGATGGCATGCAGATCATGCTGCATGTGATCTTCTCATCCTCTGAACATAACATTTCAGACTTGTATACTTTCATGTTGTTAATCTTTTTGTTAGATCACACTTTTTTTAATGGAAACACTCACACATACCCTGAAATGTTCAGATGCCCCCCTTGTTGAGAAGTCAGTGTTCTAGATATTTCAGGACTCCATATTCCATCAGTCCCAGCCAGCATTGCCAATGATCAGGGATGATGGGAGTTGTAGTCCAGCAACATTTGCAGGGCCACGGGTTCCTCAGCTCACTGCAAACCACTGTTACTTTTAAATCATAGTTAAGCTTATCAGGCAGCATGCTGGTGCACAGGGTGAAAATCGCGACCACTTTCCTCCTGTCTTGCTCTTGTAGCTGCTGCACTGCTGGGAGCTAAGCTACAGTATTATTTAAAATAATTTAAACATGAGATGACCTGTTGGAGGATGAAGTGAACTCATAGTGAAAATTACATATAGAATGCCATGCAATTTTCCTTGGCTCAAAATGCTTATATAATATATTGTTCACTGAATTCACCAAAATACCCTGTTTTTCTATCCCCACCATTAGTAATCACTTTGTTTTTGTATTTATGTGTCTCTATGTGTATACAAACAGATATTTGGGATCTTGAAAGCTCCATTTAAAGACAAAGCGGGAGAAGGAGCCATACTGAGACTTGAAGATCTGGGCGACCAGAGATATGCCCCATACAAATACATGCTGAGGCTTTGTTACAGAATCCTCCGGCATTCCCAGCAGGACTACAGGAAAAACCAGGTTTTTCTCTTGCCTTCTCATGTGGCTACATAATTGTATACAGTGGACTCCTTGGTTGTGCTTACAAATTCATTGAATCCAGTGGAATGACTGCTGCAGGAGAGTAATGCCAACTTGATTTTATGGAACCAAAATTTCACTTTCAGTGTGACTGTGGATTAATTCCATTACTTTAACCAAGTGCAGTATAGTAGCATGAGGTGCTGTTGAGTTGGAATCTCTATGCTATGATTGGCTCCACCTGGAGTTAAACAGATGAAGGTGGGATTAATTCGCTGCTATCAACTGTCAGGCAGGGTGTTCCCAGGACATCCCCCTTAACCCATCTTGTTTGATAAACTGACTTGTTTTCTGATTTTTTAAAAAAGATTGGTGCCATTTATTGGTTGATTTGTTGACTGTGTGTGGGATTTTTGAACTGATATGGTTGACTTCTTATCGCTTTTATTGTTTTACTGGTTTCTTTCCATGAGGGCTCCAGGGAGCTATGCATGGCATAATAGAAATATTTAAATAAATAAAAGCAAGGAAAGGAGCAGAGTGGGGAGGTGATCTGACCATAGACTAGCAGATGTACTTGCACTCTTCCAGAATAGCGCCATGCCTGCTTTACCTACTGGTCTGAAGTGGACTAGTGGACCCCCATCTTGATGAATCACCTGGGAACAAAAGTCTGTGAGAAGGAATCTTCCTGTCATAAGGAATATTCTAGTACTGATTGGTACATGGCGTATCTAAGCATTTGTGGGTCATACTAGGGCAAACT